GTTCAGTTTGTTCGGGAACTTGGAAAGACGGGCAATATTGAAACCAACAACAACGCCAAAAAGAAAGACAACAACAACAGAAGGGCAAAGAAATAAGAACATGTTATGAGGTGACAAAAGTAAAAGTAGAAGTTCACGTTCCTCTTTTTCAAAAAGAGCACCGACAGTCATATTCATTCTAGGAAAAGTACCTTTTTAGGAGGAAGGTAGGGAGGGCGGGGATTCAAAAGGGAGGGTTATCAATAAGAAACATACAATATTGGGAGAGTCAGACCTAATTTGTTTTAGCTTGGGGAGGGCCACCCTCTAAAAACTAAGGAAAATTAATTAACACCTCATACGCTTTTTAACCCAATCTATATCACCATTTTAATAACACACCCAGTTCTAGATTTACCGTCCAAAATATTTTGGTATAGTAAAAGTTGTCACAAAGAGCTACAACCCCGGACAAAACTGTTGAGACAATTCCATCTATTTTCTAACTTTTGCGCTCTACTCCCGTCTCCCCTAAACACAAAAAGTAAACCCCCTCCCCACCCCCTATTCAAGGTTGCCTTGGTCTAAAAATCAACGTGTATAATTGCCATGCTATCCTAAACAACTTTGGATAAGGGGAGGGGGGAAATCGGGCATTCATTTGGCGGCGGTTTCAGTTTTTGCCGGGATGACAGGAAAAAATAGGCATTTTCGCGATTTGTCTCAACAGGTTTTGTCCGTGGTTGTCTGCGGACTGTTTTCGGTATTCTTTAACTTTCATAGCAATTACCTCAAGTTATAGTCCTCTCTTTTGGTCAAATTGATAAAAGCCATTGTTTCAGCATACTTTTTTTTTCTTTTGAATGCGAAATAAAATTTTTACAGTAAAAATTGAAGTTATAACACTCTGATTACATGATCTGTCAAATGACATTTACTCTGTGACGCTACCATGGGCATGACTTTCAACGGCTTACGTGTCCGTAGACGCTTTGCCTGCTCAAATGATGACATTGATATGTAATCGCCAGACAAAATGGATCTCTCGAGAACTTCCGATAGTGACGAGTCATTTTCAGGAGGCTCGGAAATATCGCATGAATCACTAGGTGAGAGGAAGGTTAGTGCGCTTATCTGGTCACTTACAGTCACGCGAATTTGGCTCATTTTTCCATCCCGCGAGTAATTTGCCTTAGCAGTGATTACGTCGTTCGCCAAGTGTAGTGCAAAGATCCTACACTTAATAGGACAACATTGCCTCAGTTACAGCAAATGTGGAATTGTGTACGAACGGGAATGTGGTATGATGGATCTCTCATTTCTCCACGCAGATCCCGCGGGAACAATAACGGGAAATCCCTTGATGTGTAAGGTGCCTCGATGAGCTTGCTATGCAACAAAAACGGAGTAGTTTTTCTCACAGACGGTTAACTTAACGAATAAAGTACCGCAGAGGAAAGAAACATCGATTAACGACGGTTAACGACGGTTAACAACTTTTCTGAAGAAAAACAACAGTTAGACTATCAGTTTTCTTTAATATATTCTGTTAACCGCTGTTAACCGTTGTTAACCGTTGGAATAAACATGTGCGTGCCTGTTAATCGTTTATTTCAAGCGTTTACGGTGCTTTCAAGCATTTTCCGTAGTATATAGAACCTTTTTGTTGATTTTCAAGCATTAAAAAGACCTTTTTACTCAAGGGAAAACTTTTTGACACTGGTGTAATTGTCATGAAATGCGCTGTTTTTTGCCACAAAAGAACTGTTATCGTGTGACAACATGTTTTCGCTGTATTTGTGATCAAAGAGGCATTGCTTTCCCTACACATCCTATTTCTACCCATTTTGGAAGTTCTTCATTAATATTTGTTCTTTTGGCCTTGGTTGTCATAGAAGAATTAACGGTTTTATCGGCATGGATTCCATTATTTTGTCAAGTAGATAATCTGGTATATATGTTGTAAATTGTTGTAATTACACACTCAGTAAACGCGGGTATTGTTAACTCGGTGAAGCTTACTTTTCCAGTTCTACTTTAACTACATGGAGCAGGTTTTGTCCGGGGTTGTAGGCATGTTAGTATACAACAAAGTTCCGGTCACTTGCCCACCATTTAGGAAGCTATCAGAGGAAGATCGAAAGTAAAGACAGTATGCCTAAGGATGATATAGGAATGGCTGGAACAGAAACAATCTTTTGTTTACATTAGCGGACAAGGAAAGGTCCTTGGGGGCAAGGTATTAACAATTGTGTCTACACAAATAATCGTTTGATTTACAATCTAAAATCCATGCAACTCGTCTGATCTTTACCTGCTGATTTTAAGCGTGAGCCTGTTGGTGGAGATTTGCCGCTCTGGCGCGGTGACACATGATTTCTTTGAGGACGTCGCCAATATTTTCTTTCTTCGTTTAATTTGTGCGCTACGTTGTTGTCGCCGCTTAGCGGCTCAAAGTTTTTGGAGTGGCAAGAAGAAAACAGAAGAACATCTGGAACCATGAGATACTTTCAAATAATAATTTATGGCCCTCTAAGAGACTGAACTAATTCGGAAACTCCTAACTTACAGGAAGTAGTAAAGGTGTAGCTTTTGAAAACGTTTAGGAGCTGTTTATGTGGCGAGAGTTGATGAACCCTGAGGGTAGGTCAGGTAAACCGCCTAGTCGTGGTAAAAAAATACCCTGCGTTTACAGGCAATCTTAACAACCCCGCAATCTCGGAGGGAATTTTCTCGAGATTATCGATAGTCGGCCTCGTGATCAATTCCATTAAAGTTGCACTTGTTTTGTAGTCCTTCATGCTCCTGACAAGAAGTTCGAATCCGTCGGCGTTTCTCTTGCCTTGTGCTATCGACGGATTAGAAGGACAACGTAGTGAAAGAATTCAAAAGGTAAATGTTAAAGTCTTTGTCTAGCGTGGATATCTCCTAACGGTACTCATTATATAGGAACATATCTGCGGCCGAGAGTGCGCTCAATTTACCACTCCACCCATTAGTGCTCCTTTTTATGGGTATTTGAAAGGCTCTTGCTTAGTTTTTCATCATTAATGCGCATTTCTTACGCATGATTAAGGTGCGAACATTAAAACCTTAAGACTGCAGCTCACTAGAGAGGTCAATCTTCATTTTCTCTTAAACGAGTATGGTGACCTATTTTTCTTAATCTTTTTTCAAAGTGAGCGGTAACTTTATTTCTCTAGAATAGATAGAGATTAATTTTCAGTGAAGAAAAGGAAAAATCGTCGGAAGCGTGTTCAAAGCATGTACTCGTAAATATAATCATATTAGTATTTTAAATAATTACTGCGTATATACAAGTTGATGCTGCTCCTAAATGACTATGGGGACCTCTCACTTTTATTTAAAAACTTAAGTTTTATAACATCCCGTTTGCAAATGAGTCGCCAGATCGAGTTCATTACATTCCCATACTCTCGTACTAAGTTTTCAATCTTTTCCTTAACAAAAAAAAAATGTAGAATGTTTTAAGTGCAGGATTATTTCAAACAAGAAATATGATTCAAGGAATATGTCATTGTCAAACAAGCTACCCTCAAGAACAAGTTGCCTGCCTACAGACCCTACTTCTATTTTGAGCTTTCTCGTTAATCTAACTAAGAAAGCTGAAAAAATTAGGACGATGCGACATGCGATGCGACGATGCGACGCCGCGACAGACCTACAGAAAAACTGTTTCTTGGGTTCTACAAACTTGTATAAACATTGGAAACCTTTGTTTCAATTACTCGGAATGCGTAGAAGTCGTCCTCTCCGATGATCTTAAAATGCTGGTCTTTTCATTATTTATAAGTGTATAATTCGAGAATTTAAATCCAAACCGTATGCTGTGACAGCTCCTTCTTTTCCCCTGAGGCACTGTCTCAGCAAAAACTGAGGAAGAATTTCCTTTCAGCAATCGCAGCCATTAAAAATTGTTTTGTTTAGCCATGACATGCATGCACACTGTATTAATTTACTTCCAGGTCTTAAATATGGATCTTTCATATAGATTTTGCTTGCCACCATTTTTTTGGTTTCTTTCAGATCCCGTAGTTTGCAATTGTGCAAAATTGATAAGTTTTTACCATGTGAGTAGTTATAGAAATGGGTATCCTGGGCACATCTTCGAATTACCAGAATTGCATTAAATCAACTAATAATAAAATCCCAGAATATGCAAGGGAGTATAAAAGAGAATATCAATTTATTAGAGGATTAAATAAGGAATTTAAATATCTGATAAATAAACTGGATGATTTGAATAATGGATTGTTTGAGAGTAACATTTCTAATAGATTATGTAATTTAATTAAAAGATTTTTGAGAGGACAAGAAAAAGGTAAACTTAAGGATATTAGTGAATTTGAAATTGAATATGATATTGTTTTTAATTTAAATAAGATTAAAAATGAATTAAATAAAATTAACCAGTATTTAGATTTTATTTTAAATTGTTACCATAAAGAAGATTTAATTTTTATTAATACTTATCCTGGTTTCATTGATTTTTTTTATTATTTTAATTTATTTTTTACAAAATTAAATATTAAATATGAATATGATAGTGATAGTGATAGTGATAGTGATAGTGATGATTTTTAGAATAAAATTAATTATTTAAACATTTTCGTCTTTTAATATAATCACTTATTAGAAGACGTCATGTCTAACCAGTCAGTTGATGGTTTTCAGGGTTCTCAACCCTTTATAACAGATAATGAATACAAGAGTTTATCTTTGGATCAATTAAGATATATATTAAACCAGAAGAAAAAAACAATAAAGGATAGTTATAAGGAATTAAGTGAAAAAGAAAAAATAATTCGAGACATAATAAAACTAGATAAACTTAATGAAAAAGTAAAACAAGGTATACATATAAAAAAGAAATATAAAAAGAAACTCGCAGCCAAAAAGAAAAAATAAAAACATTTGATGAGTATTTTGAGGAATGTATAAAAAATAAAAAAATTCCTAAAGATACTCCTCCTTATTTACGTGAAGCTCTTGAGCGCGCTATGTATGAATATGACCAAGGTCTTGAAAAAGAAAAATCAGCTCTTGAAGGTTTTGCTAATAAGTATACTATTCAAGGAATTCCTGGTCTTATTCCAATGGATTTTTTTGAGGAAATAAATGAAACTTTAATAGATTTTTTCACTTATCATCGAAATATAAAATTTAGGTTACTTTTGGTTTGTATCATGGAAAAACAAAATATTCAACAAAATGTTGGTGTTATAGGATTAGAAGAAGGTAAAGCTTACTTTTCTTCAGGAACACTTTATAATCTTAAATCAACTAATGTCGACAAATTAATTAAATTATGTTATGAACGTATTGAAGGTCATATTGAAGTATATACAGAAAAAGGAAGTGGTTGGTATTTTAAAGAAGTGGACAAAGTAGAAATTCATACTGTTGAATTTAACCCAGCTAAGGGCTCATCATACATTAATCTTCCAGATTGGATAAAGAATAAAAAAGCGATTGTAAATATTCAAAACAAAGATGATAAATGCTTTCTTTGGTGTATACTTAGATATCTTCATCCAAAAGAAACACATGAAGAAAAAATAAAAGATTTAGAAAAGTATGAGTTTTCACTTAAAACAAAAGGTATTACTTTTCCTATGAAATTAAAAGACATTTCCAAATTTGAAAAACTTAATCCAGAACTTCCAGGAATAAATGTTTTTTCAGATGATAATATGATTATTTATCCTTTGAGAATGGCAGATAGAGATTGTAAAAATACTATTGATTTATTTTTGTACGAAGAAGATGGTAATACACATTATACGCTAATTAAAGATTTTAATCGTTTAATTAAGTCACAAAAAACTTCAAGTAAGAATGGTAAAATATTTATTTGTAAAAAATGTTTTACTCATTTTACTAAAGAAGAATTATTAGAGAAACATATTAAATATTGTTCTAACAATGAAACAGTAGCTGTAAAAATGCCAGAACCAAACACAATGTTACATTTCAAAAATTATTACAAACAACTTCCTATTCCCTTTGTAGTTTATGCAGATTTTGAATGCTTTACAAAACCAATGAATACTTGCAGTCCTAATCCAAAAGAATCTTTTAATTATAACTATCAAAAGCATGAACCATCAGGATTTTGTTTTTATGTTAAAGGAATAGTTGATAAAAAAATTAAACCAATCATTTATACAAAAACCTCCGAAGATGAAGATATATCAAAAGTATTTGTAGAAAAAATTTCAGAAGTAACTAAAGGAATTTATAATGATTTTTATCGTAGACCAAAACCTCTTAGACTAACTCAGGAAGAACAAAAATCATTTGAGAAAGAAGTTACCTGCCACATTTGTAGTCGCGAATTAAAAACAGATAAAGTTAGAGATCATTGTCACTTTACTGGTCAGTACCGTGGTGCAGCTCATAACAGTTGTAATCTTAAGTGTAAAAAACCATTAGTTCTTCCAGTTATATTTCACAATCTTCAGGGATATGATGCTCATCTGTTTATAAAGCAACTTGCTATATTAGAGGGTGATTTAAATTGTATTCCATCTACAGAGGGAAAATATATTTCGTTTTCAAAAAGTATTAAAGTTGGTGAGTATTATTGCTTAAAAATTGAAAAAATGTGCCCAATAAATTTTGAAATACGATTTTTAGATTCATTCAAGTTTCTTCAAACATCACTTGCTAATCTAGTTGAAAATTTACAATCAGATGACTTTAATAATACAAAACAAGTATTTAAGAAAAATACAGAATTACTAACTCGTAAAGGAGTTTATCCTTATGATTATGTTTCATCTCTTAATAAATTATCAGAAACATGTTTACCACCCAAAGAGGAATTCTATTCCCACCTTAATGATGAAGATATAAGTAATGAAGATTACCAACATGCAATTAAAGTGTGGAATACATTTGGATGTAAAACAATAAGAGATTACCACGATCTTTATTTAAAGTCTGATGTTTTACTGCTAGCAGATGTATTTGAAAACTTTAGAGCAACTTGTCTTAAACATTACAGGTTAGATCCAGCTCATTATTACACATCCCCCGGTCTAGCTTGGGATGCATGTCTGAAAACCACAGGTCAGCAATTACAGTTACTACATGATTATGATATGTTAATGATGTTTGAGCTAGGTATTCGTGGTGGAATAACACATATATCAAAGCGATACGCAGAAGCGAATAATAAATATATGAAAGATTATAATCCTGATGAGGAGTCTAGTTATATTCAATATCTGGATGCAAACAATCTTTACGGTTGGGCAATGTCTCAACAACTCCCAACACATGGATTTAAATGGATGAAAGATATAACAGAAGAAAAGGTAATGGAAATTTTAGAGAAAGCAAATCATAGTATGTCAAATCTTGGGAGAAAAGGTTATATATTTGAAGTTGATTTGGAATACCCTCAACATCTATGGGAAACACATAATGATTATCCTCTAGCGCCGGAGAAGATGATTGTTAATGGTGTTGAAAAATTAATTTGTCATTTCAAACCTCGAAAAAAATATGTTGTTCACTATCGTAATCTTAGGCAATATCTTGAAATGGGAAAGAGAATAACTGCTGTTCACAGAGGAATATCATTTTATCAAAGTTCTTGGATGGAACCATATATCCGAAAAAATACAGAACTTCGAAAGACAGCAGCCAACAATTTTGAGAAAGACTTTTTCAAACTAAGGAATAATAGTGTTTTTGGGAAAACAATTGAAAATATAAGGAAAAGGCAAAATATACATCTTATTGATAATCGTAAGAAAGCTGTCAAACTATCAAGTCGTCCAAACTTTGATAGATGTACAATATTTGATCGCAATCTTATTGCGATTCATATGAAAAAGACTGAAGTGTATTTTAACAAACCAGTATATGTTGGTCAAGCAATTTTAGATTTATCAAAAACATTAATGTTTGATTTTTATTATAACTTCATCAAAAAGAAATATCACAACAAAGTTGAGTTATTGTTTACAGATACGGACTCATTGATGTTTCAGATTTACACAGATGATTTTTATAAAGATATAACCCCCAACATACTATCCAAGTTTGACATTTCAGATTATCCTCCTAATCATAAATCTGGAATACCAACAGGAGTAAAGTAATAGGGATGTTTAAAGATGAAGTAGCAGGAAAACAGATAACACATTTTGTTGGATTGCGACCCAAACTTTACAGTTTTAAAATAGAAGAGGATAAAGAAGTACGTAAATGTAAAGGAATAAAGAAAAATGCTATAAAAAAGAAATTAGATTTTGATGACTATGTCCAATGTTTATTTACAGGAAGAAAAGAAATGAGAAAGATGAAAATTATAAGAAGTGAGAAACATGAAATATATTCAAAGGAAGTAAATAAAGTAGCATTAAGTAATGAAGATGATAAACGCACAACACTATTTGGTAAATTAAAAACTGAAGCTTTAAGATAAATTTGTATAAATAACAAATGTCTTATACAGAAGAAGAAATAAAAAAATATCTGGATATACTAAATAATTATACTAGTCAACCTGTAGAGGAATTTAGTGGAAAATCTAAATGTTCAAATTGCTCAAATTCTGAATTTTTTACCATTTATTCTGGCTACAAAATCTGTGATGAATGTGGTACAGCAAACGGGCATGTATTAGGATTATTTGATCTAAAAGATTTTGATAGACTGCATTATAGAAAAAAGAGTATTTATCACAGGAAATATCATTATGAAAAAAAAGTTAGTCAAATTTCTAAAAGAATAAATCTAAATGATGATGAAAAATGTGAACTTTACGACAGACTAATAAAAATAGATAATTACATCATGGAAATACTAAACAAGAAATACTTTAGAAAGAGAATGATAAATATTAATTATTTAACCAAAAAACTTTTGGAGGAGATGGGGTGTGAAAAGTATAAACTTATTGAACTTAAGATTAGTCCTCAAACATTAGAGATTTATGAACAGTGGTGGACAAGTTATAAGAATTTAAAGAAATAATATTTATAATTATAAAATGAGTAATCGTGTTGTTAATACACCTAAAATTGAAGCAAAAGAATTGTTTTTACAAGTTCAAGAAGGAGAAGGTTTTTTATTTGAATATTTTTTTGAAAGCTATAGGCCACCAGATGGAATATCTGAAGAAGATTACATGAAAGAATTAAATGAAGAGTACTTAAAATTAAAAAGAGAAGAAGCCAAAAGGCTGCTAGGTTTAAAATAATTTTATATTATTTTAATATAAAATTTTAATTTAATCCTTTATGAAAAATCCAATAAATTATTCCAGTGAGATAACCAAGTACTTCACTATTTATTGGAGAATCAAATACATATACACATCCTCTTCCAAGTTTGTAGTGTTTATGAAAAGATTTAAAAGCTCTGTAAAACATTAAATGATTATTTAGAATAGGTATTAGATTTAATAGATCTATTTTCTAATTTGTATATTATTGTTTCCATATCTATATATTTCTTAAAAGTAGTTTCGTATAAGAATCTATATATTAGTGATGTCTTTATAAGATTTTCTGAATACTTAAGATGTTTAAGAGTAGGGTAGTAAAAGTTAACATAATGAACTATTGTATTTATCATTTTATTACTAAATATATTAAGTTTAAATTGAGATTTAAAAATTTAATAATAAGTAATTAAAATGCGTATAGAAATTAATCCTAGATCTTTGTTAAATTTAGAGCATATATGTGAAGTGTTATACAAACTTCATCCTAGTGTTTTAAATGAGTTGGTTGAAATGGAAAGATCTTTAGGTGGTATACTTGGGGCTATTAATTTAAATAAACCATCTTTAGAAGAAAGAGAATTTCTAGCTAACATTTTTCAAGAAAAAGATTACTCAAGTGAACCCAATTCACAAGATGTTAAAGTTACTAAACAATCTTTCGATAATAAAGAAGATATGATTAAATTTGTAAATGAATACAAATCTAATAATCCAAATGTTAAAATCTTAACCAAAGAAGATAGTACAAGTCGATTATTAAAAACTATTTCGGAGTTAAAAAAAGATAAAAATTCTACGGAATTTCATAACCTAAGAAAATATCTGCAATTAAATACAGATGAATATATTCCTATGAAGATAAGTGTTGAAGTAGAAGATCCAGTAATAGGTAAAAAAGTAAAAGAATTGGTTCGAGCTCTTGAGAAAACTAGAGCTCCAGAACAGTTTTATTTTTTTAAACAAGAAGTAGATGAAGATGCTTATTTTGCTGAAGGTTATGGTCTTACAATGAATGAGGAACAGAAAAAACAAAGAGATGATTTTTTTTGTGGTGAGGATGTTAAAAGACTTGAAGAACTTTTAAAAAAGGAAAAGTTATATCCTTAGTAAAAAAATACATAAATATATGACTGGTGTGCGTATTCCTTGTGAATATTGCCCAAAAGCTTTTTGTAATAAAAAGACTTTAAGTAGTCACTACCGAGTCTTTCATCGTATTGAGAAAAAAATTTAATTTCTAAATAAATAATTATTTAGAAATTGATATAAGTTTATATATTTCCTAATCTCATATTCCTCATATTTAAATTACTCATATCTATTTTATTTTTATCTTTATTATAGTTATTCAACCAATTTTCTAATTCTTTTAAATAATCTTCACATTCTTCATAATAATTACTACCAACATGTTTATTTACATAATCTTTATTAAAACTCAGTAAATGTTTACAGTAAAATTTATATTTTTCAATAAGATCTTTTTTTCATTAAAACCAAAATCTAGTTCAATTACTTTACAAATATCTTCACCTTTTTCAAATAAACTATTTTTCATTTTATAATAAAAGTTTAATTTTAAATTATTATTTAAATTTATTTTCTATTCTTTTTTGATTAACTTTATTAAAAGCAGATTTGTATTGATGAAAGTTACCTGCTTTTTCTTCAAATTTGTAACATCTATCAACTAACTTTTCTGCATTAACACCATCTAATTTATAAGTACAAAAAAAATCACAACAAGCTAAAGCTTTTTTAAATTCCAATTCATCTTTTTCACCAATCATATGAAAAATTTCTTCACAAATTTCTTTTCCTTCTTTTGCTAAGAGAGATAAATAAGAAATAATAAAATCTTTTTGTAACTGTTCCATTTTATTTATTATTTATATTAAATTTTTCATTATACCTACTAACAAATCTATCTGCTATTGGAGTTTGATCAATTATCATTTCATCTATCAACTTCATACGATCAACAAACTCTTGTTTATTCCACTCATCTCCTCTCAGTGCAGCTCTTAGTTCAATAAGAACTTTTTCATAAGTGGTAAATGCAATTCTTGTCATTTCTATTTTTCTCTTATAATTATTTTTCTTTCCTACTCCAGCAACAATAATTCCAGCACCATTTACAACTCCAAGAACAACGGGGTTAAGAGTTATTCCACCGGAAATAGTTCCAATTGCAACCAAGCATATTCCAGAGATTGTAAAAAAATTATCAAGAAATTTATAACTTTTATATGACCTCTTAAAACACCAGTATTTCTTGTGGTAGTGACTATAAAAGTCTTTTAGGGTTTTGACATCTGATTCTGATAGAGATTTGTCTATGTGATTAAATTCAAAGATATCCTTCATTTATATCTAGACTATATAAGATCCATTTAACTTTTCTTGAAGCATTACTTTGTGATATTGCTCAGAGTCGGTGTTGTAAAAGTTTGGGGAGTACATAAATTTTTCTATTACTCCATCTTGATTTAAAAATTCAGATTTTTGGTTACTTGAATGACTAACAATATTAGCAACTATTTCTGCGGAGTAGTTACTTATTTTAACTTTTGTAACATGATTGTTAATACTTTCTGTTAACCATAAAACAACCTTTTTTCCATTAAAACTACTTGGAATTGTTATATTTTTTCTTGTATTACTAATATTTAAATATAAATTATTATTTGAATTAAGATAGTATAAATGTAATAAAGTTTGATTGCTATTTGAATCTTTTTTAGTTATACTAAAATTTCTATTTCTCCAAAGAGTAAAAACAATACATAAAGTATAGCTTGTAAGTTTATTAGCTGATGGGTAAGAAATAGTATAACCATTAACATTTAATTCTCCATCTTTTATGTTATCAATTGTTTTAGTTGGAAAGGTAATATTTCTTGCTGAATTTCCTGTAATAGAAGATAAGGAATTAAAAACAACCCCGGATGAAGTTTGATTTAAAACATAAATGTTTGAATCATTAAAGTCAAAAAAATCTTCAAAATATTTTCTGTAAATATAATTTTTTATAAAAGGATGAATTTCATTTACCATTCCAACTGTTGCTGCACCATTGTTACTGTTTCTATCAAGATTAATGTTTAATATTTTTTTATTATTTGCATTTATATCAACGTTGTACATCACTTCTGTTGGTTTGATATCAAATGCGGTGTGATAGTCGTAAACTTTATCTGGATCGATATTGCTAATTTTTACCACAATTCCATAAGTAATTAAATAAACCCCTTGAAACTGTCTCGGATAAACAGCCAAGTCAGTTCCCTCTTGTGGTATATTAACCAGAAAGTGAAGAAAGAACTTATTACCAGTTGACAACTTCTTAAAATTAACTATTATTCTATGGTAATACATAAACTGTGTATTACCTAATTCATCGATGAACCTATGGGAGAGTTTCTTTACACTAACATTTTCAATTGATAATCCTCTTGAAGTTCCTTTGTCTACACTTATTTGAGACTTATGCCATAGTTGATAATCAGTGTTGAGTATTTCCAAACATAATGTGTAATCAGAATTTCCAGTTAACCTGTAAAAGTTGATTCCCATTTTGTATTTGTACCCACCTTGAGAATTTTTGTTTATTGTTAAAAAAATTACTTTATGATTATAGTCATGAAAATTGCCTTTAGAAGGAGATAAGACTCCTATTCTTCTTATAAAAAAACTAGTTCCAGTATCTATTTCATCAGTCCATTGTGCCGAACTACTCATAAGATAAGCAAACTGGTCGTTGTAATGGCTTGGTTGAACTGCAGTATGATGAACTAGTTTATCAGCGTAATCTTTAGTTACCGCTTCATTGTCTTGTGTTGGATTACTAAGATTTATTATTTTATTGTTGTTAAGATTTAAGTTTCCAGTCATAGCAACTGTGCCATCTTTTTCCAAATAATCACTTAAATCTGGTGAACCTGAGTTATCATCCACATACTTTTTGGTTGCAGCATCAGAGTCATTAGAAGGAGTAGCAAGATTTTTTATAATTTTATTGTTCATATTTAAATTTCCCATCATTGGTATATTACCATTAATTCTAAGATAATTAGAATTTGCGTAAATTACTGTTACTGGTTGATTATTACCAGTTGGCATTGGAAGATTATATATTCGATTGTTGTTAATATCTAAAGCTCCAGTCATTTTTTGCGATCCATCTTTTTTAAAAT